AACAAATAAAAATGGAATTAACTTTTCTCCCAACTAAAGGAAACATGAAAACACATTGTTTTTCTTCTTTTGGAAAAAGAAAAAAAACACATTTACATCTAGAGAGTCAAAATATTTCTAGGACCTACATCTGAAGAGTAATGTTAGTACTACTCTCTACTGCTTTTCAATGCATATTTAATTATGTTACCTGAAAAAAATAAATACTCCGAATAAATGATCTAATTCCGGTATTCCACGTACATAGATAGGCGAGAAAGGGAAATATTCCATGTACATAGATAGGTGAGGAAGGGAGACACTAGGTTTGGATGGAATAGAGCTTCCTTTGATTCAATCCCATGCCAGGAGTCAACTGCTTATAAGACATTGTCTACCCTCATCCCAACCCTAGTGACCCCTTCATTGTACCCAATACTGAGTGACCTAGTCATTACTTCTAAATGATCAAATCTTAGCATATGTGGGAGTAGGAATTGGTGCCCCACCCAAAATCTCTTTAATGTGCCATTCTAGCCATCCCTCAGCTGCCATATTGATTGCTACTAACTTGGAGTTGTCCCCTACTTTAATTGACCTTGGACAACAGAAGTCACTTAACTTGTGGGCAGGTAGGGAGGAGGTAAGCAGGGTATTCATCCACTCCCTGGGAATGGTCTGCAGCTCGTGACTTCAGCCTCTGACATTAGGTACAAATTGGCTATCCTTGACCTCAAGGTGGGAATTACTCTGTGGTACAATTCATACTCCAGAAATCTCCATGAGGTTAGGCATGAAGTTAGGCTCACCTACTTACTTAACCCATTTTCCTGCCTCACCCTACTGAATTCACATCCCTTGCCCATGTTTTCCCCTAAGAGAGCCCCACTCTTACACTCACCTCAATAAATCACCTACACAAGAGTCCGTACCTCCAGCTCCAGGATCAAAGAAACTTAAACTAAGGAAACTCTATCCCAAGGGTCTTTGCATTTTTATATTGAACCTGTTCCTTTCTCTGTCTCTCCATATGCAGTCAGTTCTACTCACAGAATCTAAATTAGAAAGACAAACCCGGCTTTGCCTTAGCTAAGTTACTTCATCTGCTACCACTCCTGTCTCATGAAAGGAAGAGAAAGAAAATTTCAAGCTGCATCCTCTACCAACCACCCCAAAGAAAGGAAATAAAGAGATAGAGACTTCTCAGCCATTGCCCAGAGATAATTTCAGAGCTTACAGAGAAAACCTTAAGGAAAGTCATTTTTGAAGCCCTGGACATTTGTCCATCCCCTTAGTAGGCTTCATTCTCATAAATGTGGTTTTAAAAGTTTTTCTTTGGATTCCATCATCTCTCCATCTATTATTGTCCTTTGTCCTTGGCCAGCTGTGCTGTGATTGGTAGATTTACGCGTGCAAAATTCAATTCCCTCTACAACTCTTTCCCTCCTCACCATGCTTATTTTCCCTAAATTCCTTCTTTTTCCACACTCGTCCGTGAGAGGGATGGTTGCTTTTTATCTGGGCAGTTCTTCTGAAAGCAAAGCCTTCAAAGGATGTGAATCAAAATATCTCTGTGTTGGAGAAAAATTTAAAAAAGAAATATCCTTTTGAATCAAAGACCTAAAATTTTCTTGGCCGTAATATTTTTTAAATTTATGCTAATTTTTTCCCACCCCCTCATACTTTATTTGCATTACAAAAATACTTTTTTTTTCACTGATGATTTAATTATCACTGTATCACAGTCTCTTAATAGATAGATGTTCACCTCAAATTACTCTTCAATTCCTTAAAGTTTTTACTCTTTAAATTCTTCCATTCTGTTCCTTTCACATAGTTTATGTAGGCATGTTTAACTTTTTTTAATATTCAGTTCCTGATTTATAGTTCTCAAACTCTTTTAGAAACCTTATATAAGATATAAATATAAAAAATAAAAGATTAGAAAAAAATTCTCTAAAATCCACTGTATTATGGAGTTTCCTTTGATCCCACTAGTCTGTCTTCTTTTTGATTTTATAAAGGACATGGATTTTGGTAAGCTCTTAAAGTCCTAAATAAACAGAAGGGTGATCAATTAGTAAGTCATAATGAAATGATTGTCCCTGAACCCAGATTTGTTTGCATTGGGAATCATAGCCTCTTTCCAGCCTTCCTGCCATGTTTCTATGCCATTTGACTCCTCTTGCTTTCTTGCATATCCCCAAACTGTCAAGAGGGCACTAGGTGAGTCAAACAGGAGTCAATCAGGAGTCAAACATTTTCTGTAAAAGGCCATACAGTAAGAATTTTAGGCTTTGCTAGTCGTGTGGTCTCTGTCATGCTGCCCAACCCTGTGTTGGGATACAAAAACAGCTATAGACAATATGTAAACAAATGGAGCTATTTTATTCCAATAAAACTTTATTTACAAAAATGGGCCACAGGTTGGATTTAGACAATGGGCCATAGTTTGCTGACTCTGGAGTTAAAAGATAAGAGGACTCTGATATCTAAAGATATATATATATATATATATATATGTATGTATGTATGTATTTGGGCTGCTATAGTTATGAAAAGAAATTTTAGAGATACAAAGAGATACAGAAATACAAAAGAAAGGTCTCAAAATTTATCCGTTAATTTAATACTATTGTTTAAGGGAATTCTCTAAATGGAAGTAATTTAGTCCTTGTATATTTTCTTTTCTATGGTCTGTTAATATTTGATGCAAGATTTCTGTTTTAAAGAAAAGATTTGGTACATTCACACTAAGGTGGGAATGGCTAATTAATTTATTATCTTTCCCAAAGTCATTTGCAATTTAACAGAGGCTAAGCCTGCTTTCTATAATCTAGGTCAGTGAAGGGGTAGGGAACTAATATTTGTTTGGCACTTACTAGGTTCCAGTTTCTGAATGTCAAACATGTTGTTATTATTATTTTTTTTTGAGACAGTCTTGCTCTGTCATGCATGCTGGAGTGCAGTGGCACGATCTCAGCTCGCTGCAACCTCCGCCTCTCGGATTCAAGCAATTCCCCTGCCTCAGTCCCACAGAGTAGCTGGAATTTACAGGCATGTGCCACCATGCCTGACTAATTTTTTTGTATTTTTAGTAGAGATGGGACTTCACTATGTTAGCCAGGCTGGTCTTGAACTCCTGACCTCAGGCAATCCACCCGCCTCAGCCTCCCAAATTGCTGGAATCACAGGTGTGAGCCACCACACCCGGCCCATGTCATCTTTTTATTCCTCTCAGTAACCCTGTGAGATACAAAATACTGTGATATCGACTTTAAAGATATGGAAACTGAAACTTAGAGTAATTGAGTAACTTGGTCAGAAACAACTAGTTGGTAAGTTGCAGAACTGAAGCTCAATCCTAATACTCTCTTTTTCTAAAATCTGTTCCATACCCTTCAATGGTCCTACCTTACTTTGCAGTGGATCCAAAAGACCCTGGGATCCCAGTCCCCTTGGAGAATCTGCTGCAAGCTACAGGTTAAAAAAAAAATTCTTATGAGTTTTGTACATAATTTCAGGAGCTTCACACAAGTGTGCACTAAATGTCAAAGGCTACACAAATCCCTCCAGGTCCCATCTTCCAGAGATATATTTCTCCGGAGCATTTCTTTAGAAGCTTAGAATCACATCACATGCCAGCTGCCTATGGACCCTTAGACTCAGCACTTCATTCCAGGTGGCCTTGAGATGCCAGATCAGCCCTGCAGTTACATTCGATAGAGAAAAGAAGAATGAGATCGGGCAAATCACTTATAAAAATTAGCTTTCTTAAATGTTTTTGCATTTATTATGCATTTCCCTCGTGCCAGACAGTGGTTTCAGGTTTTAGATGCATGCCCAGGAGGTAGATATATTATTATCCTAGTTTATGGAGGAGGATATTTTATTAGTCTGTTCTCATGCTGCAATAAAGAAATACCTGAGACTGGGGAGACTGGGTAATTTATAGAGAAAAGAGGTTAAACTGACTCACAGTTCTGCATGGCTGGGGAGGCTTCAGGAAACTAACAATCATGGTGGAAGATGAAGCAGAAGCAGGCACATTCTTCACAAGGCGACAGGAGAGTGAGTGCAAGCAGAGGAAATGCCAGATGCTTACAAAACCATCAGATCTCCTGAGAACTCACTCACTATCACAAGAACTGCATGGAGGAAACCGTCCCATGGTTCAATCATTTCCCACTGGGTCCTTCCTATGACACATGGGGATTACGGGGATTACAATTCAAGATGAGATTTGGGTGGGGACACAGTCAAACCATATCAGATATTATGGTACATTACAGACGCAAGATAACTTGCCTTAAATCACACCCCTAGCAAAGAAAAGACCCAAACCAGGAAGTTTATTCTCCAGGGTGTCAGTTTTTATCCACCTTTACTGCCAGCAAGCCTTCCATAGACCTGTATGTGAAGAGAGGTCTCTGTGTCCTACATAGAAACAATTGGAAACCTCTGTGTTGAATATTTATACTTTAAAGCGCCTGGTATTTGTGCTATATAAATTGTCGTCATTAAAAATGTGAAGGTAAATATTTATAAACAGCTGTTAAGGAAACTAGACTTCTGGGGAGAAATATTAAACTCAAATTTCTGCTTAGAGATTTTCTTTTAAAAATTGAAATATGCAGACTGACTCTAAATATAAACCTTTTTCCTATTGTAATTCTTCCTTTCATAGCCCAGGTAAATCTCTGCTAGAATTCAGCAATAGGTCCCCAGGAAAATAACTGCTTTGAAAAAATTTGGCTGAAATCAGATGCTACTTCTCACTTACTAAAATGGCTAAAGCAAACAACACTAGCAATACCAATACTGTAACTGGACAAGATGTGGAGCAGCTGAAACTCTCAAATACTGCTGTGAGGGAATGATAAATGGTGCAAACCATGTGCTAAATTGTTTGGCAGTTCCTAATAACGTTAAATTCGTTCACCTACCCTATGACCCATCTATTTCACTCCCAGGTATTTATCCAAGAGAACTGAAAAGATATATCCATCCAGATGAATCTAAAAGAATACTCATTGCAACTTTATTCATAAAAGCCACAAACCAATAAACAACCCAAATGTCTATCAACAGATGAATGCATAAACAAATGGTGGTATAACCATATCATGGAATGTTACTCACCAATAAAATGAAACAAACTACATATAGATGCTCTAGATATATGTTCCTACATGAATGATCTTCAAAAACATCATTCTGAGCAAACAAAGCCAGAAAATGACTACATAGTGTGTAGTTTCATTAATATGACATTAGAATATCCAAACTAATCTGTAATGACAGAAGGCAGATCCATCAGAGGTTTCCTTTGATGAGTGGAAGATTGAAACAAAGGGCACAGGCACGAGGGAATCTGTTGCAGTGATGAACAAGTTTTTTTTGGGGGCGGGGAGATGGAGTCTTGTTCTGTCACCCAGGCCAGAGTGCGGTGGTGCAATCGTGGCTCACTGCAACCTCCATCTCCCACGTTCAAGTGATTCTCCTACCTCAGCTTCCCAAGCAGCTGGGACTACAAGGCATGTGCCGCCATGCCCAGCTAATTTTTGTATTTTTTTAGTGGAGATGGAGTTTCACTATATGTTAGGCTGGTCTTGAACTCCTGACCTCAGGTGATCTGCTGCCTCGGCCTCCCAAAGTGCTGGGATTACAGAGGTGAGCCACTGTGCCCAACGTAAGTTCTGTTTCTTGATTGGTGGTGGGTTCCATCATACTTGTCAAAATCCATACATCAGTATACTTAAAAATCTGTCTTTTATTGTATGTAAATTATACCTTAAAAAGTAACAGTACTGGAAGAAACACAAACACAGTTTTTCAATGAATGCCTGTCTTAATTCTTGGGAGGCTCAGCTGCGGGTCTGGCTTCCTATGCCACAGCCTTCCCTGCATGTTTACCGACCATGGCAGGTCCTTCTGCTGGTCCCCTCTGGTACTCAGAAGGGTTCAGGCAGGAAACAGATGCTTTTGAATACTTACTGCCCCACTTTTCCTGCTCTTTGAAGAATGCTAGAAAAAGGAGTCAATCTTTACATGCTTCCCTTTTCCAAAAAGTAGCTAGGATGGCAACACTCTGTCTTGACTTCCCCTGTGTTTGGATCCTCGAATCCAGACCTGAGAAATGACTGTGAAATTTTGACCAAGACTCACTGTTTTGGCAGCTTCCATTTCCTTTATTTGCTCCCCATCCAAAATTCTCCTCCCTCTTAGAGATATCTAATTTATATAATTTGTCTAGCAGGTATGGTACTGGTTTAGGCTACATTTGGGAATTCCAGCTGGGGCTGGGAGGAGGTGAAAGAGGAGGGCCGTTCCCGGAAGGTGCATAACAGGCATTTTCAGTGGGAGCTTTCCTTCTGCCACTCCAATAAGCCCCTCGGAGTTCCTGCCGCCTCCGTAGGAAAGTGTAAGCAAGACGGAAGGAAAGGTCAACAACCACAACCTAGGTAGTGAAAACGTCTCTGCCAATTTCGCTGGGGCCTTTCAGGGCGAGTAACCCTCCAACCCACTTAATGAATTTAGAGACACCTTAGCTTGATTTACATAACAATATTTTAAAGACCACATGATTACTTTGGAGAATTAATTGTCTTTTTTTTTTTTTTTTTCCTTCCTTAACCTGATCTGCAGAGTTACAAATACTCTCCCAGAGAGCCTCAGAGGAGGCAGACTTGGCAGAGGAGAGAACGGAGAAAAATCCATGCCTTGCAAATGCCAAGCGGAAGAACAATGCCGTTAGCCGGCCGGTTGATGCTTAACTGCGGGATCGGGGCTCGGGCAGGGATCTTAAACATCATTTCGCGTGGGGAAACAGACATTCTCCTCTCCCGGAAGACAAGGCTGCGTGTAGGTTTATCTCGGCCTCCTGGAGGACCTGTGGTTTTCGGGAGAGCAGCTGCGAGGGGACAGAACGCTTCGCTGTGGTGGTTCCGCCGCGGGCTCCGCTGCCAGGAGGCCGGGGCGCGCGCAGCTCTGCCACGGGGCAGGCTGCCAGGGCCCGGGGAGCAGCGGCAGTCTTCCTCGGAGTAGCACCTGTTCTTCCTCTCCCTGCGCCGGGAACGCGCCACCTTCCCCCACCCCATGCTGCTTTCCCCTGCGTGGCTCCATTTTGTCTTTCCTGATGGCAGATGCCCCCGCGACCTTCCTCCCGAACACGTGCAGGGCGCTGGAGGAGGGGACGGCCACGTCAGGCGCATCCCTTTCCCCGACACCCCAAGGTAGCAGCAGCAGCAGGTGCTGTGACATTATGACAAACACTCAGGTCCCCGGTGACTGGATGCGTCACACGCTGTGTCTAACAGTCGCTGACATCTCATCAATCACGGCCTTGATTATGCTGCTGGGGTCCCTGGGCTCAGCTTTGGGCTCTGAACAGAATTTACTGCAAACTGAACATCCTTATTTCCAACGTAGGCAAACCCGTCTTGTTTAAAATGGCGTAATCCAGCTGGAAGATCACACTGGCACACTCAAATTGGCCCATCTTTTCTCTTGTCGATATTGCAATTAGGTGCGCATCCGGCAGCAGAAATTGCTGGGACATTTTTCTCTCCTGCACTCTCTCACCGTTTATTACAACTGAAGGACACATTTTGTTGTCCCTGAGAGTGATGTATTTGAGGGAAGGCTGTGACTCAGTGTATGACAATTAAAGAGGAAAGGACACTGGTAATGATTAACTAGCTTGTCTACATGATGTGAGGCTGTTTATCAACTAACATTGATTAAGCCAGTAGTCTGTGACCAGCCATGTGTGAGACTCTTCTGGGAAACACAGGTAGGAAAAAAAAATGATTATTGCCCTGAAGAGTCTCAAAATCTAGTTGATGAGATAATTGTGCAAATGTTTGGGTAGGAAAATATTGACCACTCTTCTTTACCTGGTAACAAAGACAGTGGAGAGCCTGATCACAGTGCATGGATCTTCTCTTTTTCTAGATTGGTTCACTCCCTTTCCCCAGAATATTCCCCTGTGCTTTCTTCCTTTAGAAATAGGCTGATGGCATTGTTCTAACCTGAGGCCCCACCCCTCATGTATTTCTCTAAATCAAGGTCAGCAAGCTTTTTATATACAAGATCAAATAGTAAATAGTTAAAACTTTGTGAACCAAGAGGCAAAATGGAGCAACTGATATTGCTAAAAGATTAATAACCTTTTTTTACACTTTACATTTAAGAATTATAAAAACACTCTTTAGTTTATACACCATACAGAAAAAGGTGGTGGGCTGGATTTGGCCCAAGGTGCATAATTTGCTGTTTCGTTATCTAAATCCTATTTGTCTTTTAAGATCCAGCTGAAACCCCAGGTGCTATGTGAAATATATTTGACACTGCCCATCCAAAATTCTCCTCACTCTTAGGAATGTCTAATTTATACAATTTGTCTAGCAGGTAATCATATATCTATTTATCAGGTAGTATGGTGGGAAAAGGAAGAGTCTAAATTTTCAAATCAAACAGAATAATGTTCAAATTCTGATTTTTCAACTTACAACTGAGTGGCATTCTGAAAACTAACTTATCTGATTCTTGGTTTTCTTCTCTGTTCAGTTGGTAAAATGTCATATTAATAATTTATACAGAACATTATTAAAAGAAAATACATCAAAAATGTTTATATCTATGTGTTAGTGTTTAGTTTTTTAAATTTCCTTACCTAGGTTATCTAAAATTATTGACATGAAACATATACCTCCTTTACAGTACAAAGATTTAATTCATCTAATTCACAGAGCTATGTGCATGAAATAAAATGATATGTTTGAAATGTTGTAAAACCTTAGAAAATATTATATTTATCTCTTCACAAATTATTTCTATATCCTCATCAGGAAAATGCCTTGTGTTAGAAATTAAATTGCATTTTTCATAAAGACAAGTATACATCGTATACTTTAAGTTCTCCGCAATGCTTAAGACCTGGTATTTGGCAGGTGGTAAGAATTATTTGCTATTAATTTAAATGATACCCAAAATGCTTTTATAATAAAACTTTTCCAAAGAATGTTCTTTGTTTATTTCTATCTGATTGCCCTACTCCTCAATCTAATACAATCTGTCTTCTCTCCCCAACACTCAATCAACTTCCATGTCTCTAAATCCAGTAAACATAATTCAGGACTCATCTTACTTGACTTTTCATTAGCACTCGATTCAAACATTCCCTTTTTTTGAAACCTGATCTCTTTGAATTTCATGACAGATATATACACCTCTTCCTAATTCTCTTCTGTCTCCATTCCTATCTCATTTGCATGATCACCCTCATTTGGAAACAATTCACCGTTAGCATTTCTAAAGACACAGTCCTTGTTGTTGTCTCTCCATGCTTTCCATCCATGCCTGTGGTTTCAGATAACACCTACACACAGATTCATCACTAAATTTAATATCTGGCCAAGAATTCTTGTCTCAGGTCTAGCTCACTCATGTCATTCAAAGAGCCCTGAAAGTCGACATGAGCAAGACTAAATCCAGGATCATGGTAACCACTCATCTCCAGCATCCACTAGTTTTTCTTCGGAGTTTTCTATCTCAGAAAATGGTGTCCCCATTCTTCCCCTCAAACAGGCCAGAAACCTGGGAATTATTCTGAACACCTCCCTCTTCTTCATCCCAGTAGGTAATCACCAAACTCTGCAGTTAGTCTCTTAAATAACTCTTGAATTCCTTGCACTCCCTTTTTTTCATGGTCAATGTCACCAGCACAGATCTGATGCCTACAAACTGTGCTAGCTTACCTCCGCTTCCTCTGAACCTCCCTGATCTGTCCTCTACTCCACAGAATGATGTTCTCACAATGCAAAAATCCAAATTTGATCACATGACCTTCACACTTATGAACTCCTACTTACCCTTCATATCCATTCGTGTCAACCCTGAGGGACATCTCCCCTTAACTCCAGCTTTTACAGCATAATCTTAAACTGGTCCATCCTTCTTCTGAGTTGTTGTTTCAGCATGTCATTAATCATTCAGCAGGGTGATTATTTGGTAGTTTATCTCTCCTGCTAGGATCTTTGAGAGCATCTAATTGTCCCTGGGTCTACTGACGACTGAAATTCAAACATGGCACGGTGGTTGGCAAATACACACTCAATCAACGTTTGTGCCATGAGTAAATGGATGGACACATTGGAAAGGATGGGTGGAAGAATTTGACCACCAAAACTCTCTGGTCTATATGAAGAGTCAACCATTAACCAGTTTTTTAAGTTGGAGTATTCATGTTTTTCTTTCAACAATGGATTATTTTGGGACTTCTAACATTCAACCATTCACACAGTGTCTAAATGCTTTTTTTGCAGATCATTTGGCCTATCATGTTAGACAGTCAATCCCTTTAGATGTAAGATGCAGAGACCCATCCAGGTGAACCCAAGTAATCAAAATTGATTATAAAAATAAAATGGAAATAAAGAACATAAAGCTTTTAGGAGTTTCTATCAAACCAGTTTACAAAATAACTGGGCCTCATGGGCGCCAGAAGTTAAGGGCTATTTGGCATCAGATTACCTCATGCTCTTTCATTTATGTGAGACAGGTGCTATCTGAGACCTGATGCTCTGAAGGTGACTTATACTCTAGTTACCAGTTGATTATTCCAGCTATGTCCCTTGGCTGACAAGCTTATTTATGAGACAGAATCTGATCATCCCAGGTGGTGACCAGTTGGCCTGCTCAGATAGGCATCACTCAGCCAAAGGGCTGCGGCCACTGAATCAAGTCTGTGGGAATAAGAAAGGGAACACAGATATCAAACTGGCCTCTGCTTCCGTAGAGACACCTTGGGACTACCTCCCTCAGAAATTGCTTGTAGGGCTGCACCCAGATCTCTTCTTGGAAGCCAGAACGTGCTTTTGTTGTTGAATGCTAGATTCACACCTGTACCCTCCCCCAGAGAACTGCCCTTAGCTATTAGAAGTGAATTTCTTTGGAATGGTTGATTTGACAGCACAGGGCCCTTAGTTCTGCATTTGAAAAACTAGTACCTCACAAAATCAGAAGACAAGTCACAGAAGGGAGAAAAAAATTGTAAATGACATATCTGGTGAAGGACCATTATCCCAAAAGTACAACAAACTCTTAAAATTCAATAATAATAAAAAAAAATGAACAACTTAATGAAAAAAATGGGCAAAAGATCTGAACATACATCTCACCAAAGAATGTCTACAGAGGGCAAATAAGAATATAAAATGTTCAATATCATGTGTCAGTACAGATTGTAAATTACAACAACAATGAGATATACCACTACATACCTATTAGAAAATCCAAAATGCTAACATCATATGCTGGTGAGGATGTAGAGCAACAGGAACTCTCATTTCTTGCTGATGGAAATGCAAAATGGCACAGCCATTTTGCAAGACGATTTGGCAGTTTCTTACAAAACTAAACATAGCCTTACCATATGATCCAGCAATCATGCTCCATGGTATTTATCCAAATGAGCTAAAAACTTACATGCACACAGAAACCTGCAAATAGATGTTTATAGCAGGTTTATTCATAATGGCCAAAACTTGCAAGCAACCAAAATGTCCTTCAGTAGGTGAATGGGTAAATAAACTGTGGTACATCCAGACGTGGAGTATTATTCAGTGCTAAGAACAAACGAGCTACCAAGCCATGAAAATATATGGAAGAAACTTAAATGCATATTACCAATTGAAAAAGCCAATCTCAAAAGGCTGCACACTATTTTTCTAACCGTATGCCATTCCTAGAAAGGACAAAACTATAAAAACAGTGAAAAGATCAGTGGTTGCCAGGGGTTGGGGAAAGAGAGAAGTAAATAGAGCTCGAAGGACTTTTAGAGCAGAGAAAATATGCTGACTTTATAATGGTAGATACATGCCAGTGTGAACCCTAATGTAAACTATAAACTTTAGATGACAATGATGTGTTAATGAGAGTCATCTATTGTAACAAAAGTACCACTGTGGTGAGAGATGTTGATAGTTGCGGAGGTTGTGTATGTGTGTTCAGGGGTGTACATAGGAACTTTCTGTACTTTTTGCTCAATTTTGCTGTGAATCTAAAACTTCTCTTAAAAAAATAAAATCTATTAAATAAAAACTCTAAGGCCATTCATTCTGGTGGGATCAGGCCGAGGTCAGACTTCACAGGAACCCACATCTTTTGTTTAGCTTCTTCACCTGTCTTATCCTAGTTTCCCCGCTCCTTTCCCTGAGATCATTCTCTCAATAAATCACTCGAGAAAAAACACCCGTCTC